GTAATTAATTACTATCGTTTTACCATTTAATACAAGTTAGCGAGAAAGTAATTATGTTTTAATTTGTAGTGACCCCTTGGAGAACTTTCCGACTTTATAAAATCAACATATCTGACATGAGTTGTTAATCTTTTTTTATTAGTTCTGCATGATGACTGCAGTAATTACAATAAGGTATCAGGCGATATGATCTGACATGTAGTACAGCGAAGCAGACAGCAGCCTTGGTAGTATATCCCTATCTCTCAACTAGGGATACGCAAAAATGCGAATAATATCGAGTAACTGGAATAAAACAGGTTGATTGGTCTATTGTTAGTATCGATTACTTCACAAGCAATCGATAAGACACGATATCGAATAAAAATGCACGACATCGAAAATGTATCAATCGATATTGCAGCTAACGAATCGAAAAAATACCTCATAGTTTTAAAAATCATTTATTATTTCACATATATTTGAAGTTTGCGCGAYCAGCAATCGATGAAGGTACGATATCGAAACYAAACTCGATATCGACTTCTAATTAACTCAATTTCAGAATCTTTCTCATAGATGTATAATTATTTCAGATCTGTAGACTTCTCGATCATCCAAGTATAGTCCAATTACACGGCGTATTCACCACAGAGACGTCTTTACTCCTAGTTCTGGAGTATCTTCCAGGGGGGGACCTGTTTGATGGTATCGTAACGAGGTCTTATTACAGTGAGAAAGACGCGTGCGCATGTTGTCGACAAGTGTTGAGAGCCTTGCGATATCTCGCYAAAATAGGTGTGGTACATAGGGTAGGTGAATACTTCTGTAATCCATTGTATAGATTTCTTTAGTTGCTCTTCGTACCATTCATTCATTCATGACGGCCGCAGCCGAGTCACTCGCCCGGCGGACCAGTTCTCGAGGTTGGCCATACTATTCCACCATTATATTTCTGCTAGAAAATGTTTCATCGCAAGGATTCAAAACCATCATTATTTTTTTATTTTAAGAAAGATATTGTGTGTAACCCATGATCATCTAATCCTATCAAATGGGGCTCAGTTCATTCCAATATCTCTCACAGATTTCAGAATAGTCCCCTTCACTGTTCCCTGCGCCATCTTGAAAGGTAGCCATGCCTTTACATAGAAGCGAGACAACCGTTGAGCGTGCAATATATGATAGATACCTATGAATAATTGTCTGTAGGTGTGAAAGAAGGTCTCTATCACTGCATGCTCAATAGAGCGGATTTCGTATGAGTGGGAAACGGACGGTACTGTACTGTGACCGTAATCGTACTGTAACCAAATTCTAGTGCCCCATTGGTTCACCAAAATTGTGAAGGCCAGGTCCGGTAACTGTGCGGTAACCGTGCGGTAACGGTGTCCCACTCATACGAAATCCGCTCTAGTCGTCTCGTTCCGATGCAAAGGCACGGCTATCTCATTCATATCAATCATACTCCATATCTTTTATTAGTCATTTATCAATCCATTTATTTCAATCATTTAATAATAATAATAATTTTATTTTATACAGCGCTTATACAAATCTGCTCTAAGCGCTTTCAAATTACAAACAATTACAATGACAGAGTCATGGTAGACTGCGAGCTTAAGATGGCGCCTCATGGCTGCCGCTTTTAGTCCGTCCCAAGATATCAAACTTAAAAATTACAACAATAAAAATTAAAATATAAATGACACTACAAAAAATACATACAAGGAATAAAGAAGCATGCATGATGGCCGGTGGCTCTGATGAGCTCATTCGCCCTTTTTTTTAATCATCCTTCATAAGATTCATTGTATCCCATCATTCCATTTCACTATTTCATTTCATTAATTTCAGTATATTCCATGCGTCCCATCTCACATTGTCTTGTATCATGCAACCAGTTCTGTTTTATCGTGCGTACAGGATTTRAAACCAGAAAATTTGCTATTATCGGAGAAGCCACGAGATAATAGACCACCTATTATCAAATTGACAGATTTTGGCATCGCAAAGCAGTTAAAAGGTTGGTATCATGAGTTAAAACTTATGTCTCGAAATACTTACTTCGAGGGCCAGTTCTAGTAAAACGAGTACAAAGTCTACTCTTTGACAGGAAGAAACATGAAAATGAAGACTGCATAAAAAGTGTGTTGTTGCGGCTATTTTTTTTCTTAATAACTAAGTAGCTGCTCCATAGCACAATACAATAACCCTTTTCGCGGTCAGGCAACAAGGGAGGAGCCTGTGGTTTTGCACCAATAGCCGAGTTTAGATATTTTGGTTCAGTGACCATGCACAAAAGAATTGCAGACGAGGCTCCGGGGAAATAAAGAATAAAACGATATTATACGCTCTTTGATTGGTCATTTTGAAGCGTGTACTTCAAAATAACTCTTTGCAATATTAAAAAAAATAAAATTATCAATGGATAATCTTGATTTATTCTTTATTTCCCCGGAGCCTCGTCTGCAATTCTTTTGTGCATGGTCACTGTACCAAAATATCTAAACTCGGCTATTAAAGCGATGCAAAATCGGGAAGATGCAAGAACCCAAAAGGTTGTCATTTTGAGTTTGTTTATCCTTTTGCAATGTCACGAAAATAAATTTTGATGGGGGAAAAAGTCATAATTTTGATATTACTGGGCACTTTTGTTCATTTGAAGGCTGCAGCAAACATGTTGCCCGCCCGTATTGGTTTTAGCAGTGAAAAAGTATATTTATTGATTCCATGTATTTTATATTCATTTTGTTGTTGTTGCTGTTTACAACGTAAACGTAAACAAAAAAAAATTCAAAGAATATTCTTTAGTGATTATCACAATGTCACGGAAGCATGCAATATTTAAACGTACACAAAATTTGTTGCTTGCAGATGGCGTTACTCCCATACAATGTCAAGGCAGTGGTTCTCCAATGTATCTTGCACCTGAGACAATCTTAGAGAGYAAAATCGACTGTGCTGTTGATATGTGGGCGTGTGGTGTCATCTTGTATTTATTATTGGTAATACTCGACAAGATGAAATAATCGATAGCTAAGAAAAATCCCGACTAGAGATAGTTCGAACTAATCCATGCAAATTCGTACAAAAACCTTTCTCTCAGATTTTTAATTAGCGAGATTTTGAATATAATGACTTTATGTATGATGCACGAGTAAACGCTTTAAGAGCGTCCGACCACTAAAGTCACGCCATTTATGATTGGTTGACTTCTGGTACTTTTTTGTCTTTTTTTATTGTTAATGCTTTAGGTTGGTTATCCTCCTTTCTGGAATGAAAAACCTGAATTTCTTCTTCTTAGTATTCTTCAAGCTAATTATACTTTCCCGTCGCCATATTGGGACACAGTCTCAGATCCAGCCAAGGACCTTATCAAGAAYATGGTAAAGAACTTAATCATTCTTAAATCCAATTTGTTGCGCAAATGCCAACTGCATTTAGTTTTCAAAGCTGGAAAATGTCCCTGTTTTCTTGCATGCTTGATTGTTTTCAATTTCATTGATTGTTCTATTGCGTTTTGTGATTTTGTTTCGTTTTGTTTCGCTTGTTCACCATTYATTCGCTTCATTTTATTCCTTTCTATTTTATTCGTTTTATACCTAGCGGCTTTGAAATAAATAAATGTTTCGCTGCTTTGAAGTATGCTTAAAGGCCCAGTGTGCACCATTATGCTTTAGAGGCCGTGAGGGCCGTGAGGCGGCCATTTTCAGTTTACCGAAAGTCTATAAATTGTACTGTGTGTTYCAAATCTTTGAGCATCACGTTTCTAAGCACTTTAAACGCTAATATAAGAGTTTTTAACCATCTRAAATTCGTTTTATGGTGATATTTGGATTCTAGAAGCATTTTGGTGCAAATCATAACAATAACAGAGGCGCGCAAAGCATAATGGTGCAAACTGGTCCTTCAAACCCCCCAAAAGGCATTATGTTGTCCTCGACTCAGTCTTCTTGTTTTCCTTAACTCGTTCTTTTTCTTCCTTTTTATATTTATTTCTGTGAATCATAGCTTGTTGTTGACCCGAAGCAGCGAATCGACCCCTGTGAGGCACTACAGCATGAATGGATTCGTGATCCCGACGAGATTCCTGGAGCAACACTTAACAGACGAACAACCCTAGTTAGGCTTACTGCTTTTAATGCAAAACGAAAACTTAGAGGAGTGGTGTTGGGACTCATTGCAAGAAAACGGTACCTTCATATAGGAGATAGATGATGATGATGATGATAAGACTGATATGATTATCAACCGCTTGAAATTCTTTTAAGTAAAATATCTTTAGCAGCACTGCCTGGCCTAGTTGTACTTCTTAATTTCTAAGAATTTTAATTCATTTTTGCTTGTAAGATCTATTACTCAAAATGATATTCTTCACAGAATGACGTTCAAACCTTCAAAAAACGCCCGRCGKTTAACAAGAAAAGACTCCTACTGCCCAGACCAGGACATGGAAAACYACGTACACCAACTGAACGAAACACTGCCCAGCATTACCGAGGAAAATCCCGACGAAGGAAAATACAATGTTAAAGAAATTAAGGCTCAACGATCTCATACATACAGGTCGAGTGTAGAACTAGACATTAACCCTACAAAGAACAATTTACGGTCCGTCCGCTATGAACGAAGACGACGTTCTCAAAAGCGAGCCAAAGAAAACACATTAAGCCAAGATACTTGATAGTTTGTGATTCGATGGGCTGCCTGTGCTCATATATCATAAGGAATTCTGACAAAAAATTCAGAAGAACAATTGTGATGCACACNAGGGTTGCTTTTCATTTATCATTACATTTTCATTTATCATACCTCCAGTAGCAATGAGATCATCTATAATCACTACTTTTTGCCCAGCAGTGAAAGCATCTTGCTGCACTTCAAAGACATCCTAAAAGACAAATTATAATCAGTACCTCCCTGCTGTGTTCACCAGCCCCCAACCCCGTCCCCACCCCACCTGACCCCCCACAACATGAAAATTGCAAAGCCATGATCGATATTTGCAGAAAGAACTGCCAAATGGGCAGAAGCCTGATAATGGACTTACTTCTCCATATTCTTTAGTATATTTAGCTTTAAACGTTGGCCCAGGAAGCTTTCCAGCCTTTCGAATGGGAACAAAGGCCACATTTAAGTTCATTGCCACTTGTGGACCAAATAAAAAACCTCTTGCTTCAAGACCTAGAATTGCAATTGAAAAAACGTTTACAGGTTTTCAGAGACACATAGCATTATGTATTGAAAACTGGTTTTGATTGACAAGTCTTAATRATGAGGTCAAGGGACCATACCTCTAAGCCATAACAGGAAAGCTGTCTAGGAACACCAGTTGTCTTAGTGGTGCAAGAYGCCTCCTGTTATGGTTTCTGGCAATGTATAAACAAAGCATCATTTTGCCATGTTTAACCTTATGGAAGTATATTCTCTTTTATGAATCCTCTTCCTTATAAATTCCAGGCAGATCCAGGGGGTCTTCATTGCAACTTCATCTCTAACATTGCAACTAGTACATTTATTTCTGACCCAATACTGAATTTGTATGAAACTATGTTCTCTTAGATAGTACTTTGAATTCCATAAATTATCTAAAAATGGATAACACTCCATCTTTTCCAAATCTGCAGACTGTGCTGGTTTGGCACACATGTGGTAAGGGGTTCTTCTTCATAAATGAGCCTGGACACATCCCTCCCCCCACCCTGAAAAGGTGCTTTTTCATCCTATTCTAAATTGATCTTTAGTGAATCTCWGTTTAAAAGGTGAGAAAATTTAAGATTGCAGCATGTGGGCAAAGCTTGAATTGTGTTGAGCTGCAAGAGTTGCAATTTTCAAGGTCCATTTCATTTTAAATCCACACACCCCAGTAGAAGATTTTTTCCTGGGGGGTTTTTAAAATCAAATTTCTTGGGGTTAAAACGAATCAACGCCTTTGATCTGTTAACTAAATTTCTGTGTTGTTCAATGAGTAGGCTTCTTTGATCGTTATTTTTCTAAGGGGTGTTATGGCCTGATCTCTTCTATGGGGGGGGGGGGGGGGGGGGATATATATATAATGGATTGGGTAGTTCCAGAAAATATCTGTACCATACAACGGGCGCCATTTCGGAAATCCATAGGTCATCGATTTTGGAATTCCAAGGAGTAGGGAGGTAAGATGATTTCGGGAAACTGTTTATTTATGCATAATACGCTCATTGAAGCAACGCATCTTATTTTCGAGTCACTTTAACAAAGTTTAAATCATCCATGCGCTGCTTGCAGTGATCAGCGATTGTAAATGCTTGTGGTCAGCGGTTTCTTGACAGAAATTAATAGCGTCTTGGCCATCTTGGTCGTAGATAACATTTCTTTTTTTCTCACGAGTCTAATTTGTTCAAGCATTACTTATTAATAGACATTAACTAGACGGGTAAAAGATAAGTAATTCCAACATCAATGATTTTTACGTGATTTTTAAGCACTTCCACGAAGCTACGACGATGCATTGTCTTACTTATTTTCGAGAGAATATATATTCTCATTCATTTCCTAGGGGGGTAACCTGATTTTCAATGGGGGATAAAAACACGATTTTGGAATTCGTAAGGAGAGGGGTGGATACCCAATTTCGGAATTTCCTTTAGGAGAGGGGGGGGTGGGGGTCAAAAATCGATGCCGCCTGTCATATGGTACAGATATTTTCTGGAACTACCCATTGTCCCTAGCTACACATTTGCTTACCGGCTATAACATCTATTTTTCCAAGGTTTTTCTTGATGTGATCAGTAATAACATCCGTTACTGTCCTAAGAGCACTTGGATCTTTAAGAATAGGGCAAATATCCCTAAAAAATGCAATAATCATGAAACTCACGTGCCTCAACTTCCAGGCCAGAACTGTTCGAATGAAGGCATTCTCGTTTAGTGGTGTCAATCCCGCACAATTTCTTAAATACCTTACTTGAACATTATTCCAGGTTTAGGGAAGTCTGGAATGGTGCGTATAAGCTGTTTGACTTGAGCCAGAGCTTTCTCTTGGTCACAAATGCTTTCTTCGTTCGCCGCCATTTTGGTAATATTAGCCAGCTAAGTGTGTATACTTGGTCAGCGGTCATGACAAGACAGGAAGCCCGAATTCTAGGTTCAACTACAAAATACCTTCCCTTCTGCATTCCCTCCCTCATTCATATGTTCAACTCACAAAACATCATTACTCATAATAAAGTTAATAAATTTACAATAGTTTTTCCTTACTTCAAAACTGTTTTTGGGACTTTTTTTATACATTTGAAAACTCCCGCTCATTTAGTCCAATAAACAATAAACCGAAATAAAAAGTTATAATATGAATCGATTTAAGTCGTTTATAAAGTTATAATAGTCTTTCCCTACTTAGACACTGTTTTAGGGATTTTTTTCTTTTTTTTTTTTGCACATTTGAAAACTACCGCTCATTTAACTACACCGAAGACTCAGGAGGAGGCGATGGGGTCTGTTCTAAATAACTGTTCTTGTACGAATTTTGTCCTGGGAAAGGGATTTTGAACTACATGACAATCTCACAAACAAATGTGACGCCCTTCCTTCTTTAAAATAATTTTGTTCCTGGCAAACGTTTTCATGGTCAAAAACGACTTATACTTTTTTTTAGTTAGTAACTTTTTATTTTCCTGGCAAATTCTTAGAAATTCTTTTCTTTGCATGTATAGTTATTTTTCCTGAATTTTTCGCTGGCAACCAGTTGTGACTTACAGCTGGCTGGGACATCAGAACAGATATATTTCTCCCAGGAACCCATCGGCTCCTC